AATAACTTATAATTAAAATAGTTTATTCTGGTGTTAGGTGAGTTTTTCTACGATAATACAACGAAATATGTATGGGATGAGTGATTAGTGTGAAGCGATTATAGCACGGAGTATAATGATGTATCTATATACAATATTATCCGGCTAATATCAAAGTTAAAGTTTGAAAATGAGGTGAAGAGACTTCTTCAATAAGTCATCATAATATTTATATCTGTGTGTTTTGAAACCTTTGGGGATATTTTAGATACGACAGTAAAACTGTTTAGAAATCATATATTCATGAATGAATATATAAAGGATGTAATGAAATTATATTGTAATTAAGAATTAATATATTGTTTTATATTTTACAAAAGAGCAGCATCCAAAAAAATAACGCAAATCGTGCGAGAAATTAAACACACGGCGTGCGGGAACAAGGCTGTGTGCTAAGCAACTACATTGTCGTGATCGTGATATTAAATGCCACTATGTCAGCTGACAAAAAGAATGATAAACCGCTTCACTTTTGAATTTGGACCATAGAAGAAGCGCTCGCGGAGTTTACTGCAGGGATATAAATTAAATGCTTACGTTTCGCTCGCCCGCTTCGCTAGTTTAATTAAGCGTCTCCTCCTTTGTCTGCATGTGCGTAGACATTCAACATGTTCCCTGTTGTTCCGAGACCATTGGATACGTAGATGCCTATTTACTTTATGCAGCCTTAATGAAGTCTTAGAGCTTCAGCGAGCCCATATGAACACAGACATTTTAAGAAAATTCCTAAAGACATTGAGTAGGTCTTAAGCAACATTTTTTTTCCTTGACAGTGTCAATCATACCTACATATATCCTGCCTGATGTTTTACTAGTTTAAACAACTTTACAATAGAGGGTTTCCTGATTATATAGGTAAAAACATTCTCTACATTGAATTTATAGTTTTTTGTTTACGATATTTCTGTTACCAACCGATTTTGATGATTCTTTGCAATCAAGGAAAGGATGTCAAATCCGCTTTCAGAACACTGTTCTGTACAATTACAGACCCAGGTGCCTAAGTATAGTTATAAACTAAACTATAATTAACTATCGATAACTAAAATTCTATAAACATGTATACAACATATTGGATACGTATGGGTATTAACTTCTACAGAAGAGTACATAGTCCATATATGTATATGTGTAAACGTCATATTTTTTAACATCTAAACTGCCTAAAACTGTGCGTGACAAAAAATTCACAAACAACATTAATTTGTACAGACACTGCACGTACAAGAGCGTGAAATTAAATTTTCGTGTCGCTCCCGATTAATTTTTCCGTAGAAATTTCCCTTTCATGTTCGTTTCCTGTCATTTAATCTGGAACATTATTTATTTACTGGAACATTCTATAGATATATTTATTTTCTAACAACATTTACTATTTAGGTATTACTTATAAATACATCCTTAATTCAAATAGAGATATTGTTACTGTTGACATCGACCAAGACCAGTTATATGAAATCTAAATACATTTTATTCTTAATCAATCAATCTCGTAAAAAGATGTCACACATTTGTAAGTTTAATGCTTCACTTAAAGTAAGTAGGTACGTTTATCTATGGTGACATACAGTTATGTTTACATCTAATGTAACGTAAGTGTCTAACCTAATATCCTTTATTACCTAACTAGCTTATAATATCTGATTTGCACAAGTTTACTCACAATTAGGCCTGTGTATCACCAACTTCATGTGTTTCTCACTTAAACTACTCAACAAGCTTTTATTATTTTTTAGAACTTCAAAACACGAGCATTCCTCGACAAAGATATTCGAAAACTAAAAAACTTAAGCCGTTGATCGCTAGCTTGTTTTGCAGGTATAAAAGTTTTTTAAGGGGCGATGCAAATTTACCGCACTATCGTTAATTGAGGTTTTTATTTATGATATTTTTATATCATATTGACTTTCTCCCTAAACAATGGTATAAAAAGATATTTGTTATTGTTATTCGAACACACAACGAACTTTCTCCATGCACTATTGTCAACAAACGTCACTTATGTTGGCAACAATATTATGAATAGTTTAGATTTTTCAACTTAGTTTAGTTGTTATTTCTCCACCGATCGAGCTATCCGATCGACTTGACAATCGTAACCGTACTGAAAAACGGTATTCTTTTATCCAAAAATCTCCTAACGAGGTTAGTTTAGGCAAACTTTTGTGATGTGATTTTTTTGTGGCCTTTATATTTGGTTCCATATGAGTCCATACATTATGCTGTCCTTTCGATTCGGAAGAAACCACGTGAAAGGGTTGTGCCGTTCTTACCAACTCGTGCTGCGCAAGAGTGAGTGTGACACAAATATTTTCTAAACAACTCTACAGTTAGAACGGAGAACACGTTTGGAGAATAATTTGAATACCAAAGTGCAGATGGCTTCTTTTAACTGAGGGGCTTTAGGAACGCCGCCGATATACAAGTTAATTAAGGTTTGCCCATCAATTAAATATTGATTTCGATTGTTTCATTTTGCATATTAAGTTATTCTCATAATTTATATTCCAATTGTATTTTGTTAATTAAGACATATAATTCCTTTTTTAAGCTACTTTATGTACCATTAAGCACGTCGCTTCGCAAACCAGGTTTGACTCTCGGTCGCATCAATTTAGGAGAAAAAGATTACAATCAAAATTTATTGAGTCTATAATTAGTTGCATATGTAACTAAATGATGTTCTATTATAATTTCTAGCATCTTAAAAGAAGAAAAGTAGAAATCATACATTTGAGTAATTTGATTTTTATGCCGACAGATTACTTTTTAAATCTCAGAAAGAAACTGCCGTTTCTTCAAAATTAATATCCAGTCAAAATTATTAACTATATCTCTTAGCGTAATTTTTCCAATATTAAGGATATAAAACTAATAACGAGAATGTGAATAATTAATAGTCAATAATTGAACTACGAGGTCGTTTATGACTCTATAAATCATAAACCTCACTGAGAAACCAATACAGCCAAATCACCCAAATTCATATCTGGGACGATGCATTCATTCTGCGAACGGATTCACTGAGCGAAACACCAAAATTTATTGGGTTAGTAGTTGCCGTAGGTCGATAAAACTACTCACCGAGTACACAATGTCGTAAGTCAATAAATTGGGAAGAAAAAAAATAGAACTCTCGACATAATGAAACAGAGTAAACTTTTGCTTGATGATACTAGAAGGTTGTATGACTGAAAAGAGCAATGCGCAGTGCAATTTTGTGATATCTTTTTCACTCTCTCAATGGCAGAGCTGCTAGGCGACATACGGACGTTATAGTGTTGAATTAGCATATTTATTGCTAGTTACACGACAAAATAAATTTATCTTAGCCCATTGGGCTTGAGCCATATTCGACTTTTTTCTTTTCGTCACATATTCTAACTTCCGCTCGCTTGTTTGGTCTGAGTATGTAAATACGAAATGCGTAGAATTTATTTCAATATTCCAAGTTCAAAGGAAGTTGAAATAATGTAATTTTTAATTTATTGTCCTACTATAAATGATTACTTATTTATATTAATGATCATTTTAATGTAATATAAAATCAAATTCTTATATCCCTAATGTGGGTAATGAAAATTAGTGTATCTAAACAAGATTGTGACCGTGAATACATATCTACTTACAGGGCAAACATGTGCAGTCTGCGTAGTGTACTTAAACGCGTGGCTTCCTTATATAGGATCCTCCAATTCTCGGCGAGGCCAATTTAGATAACATATTTTTCTGAAATACTTCGAGTTGTTGAATGTTTTGGGTCGTACTCTAACCGAGATTCTCGTTTTACCTACCTAATACAAAATACATACATACCTATACCTACCTACTAAGCTACTGAGATTACACATGATGAAAGGGGGAATGGGATTGATAGGAATGTAGATTAATGACCTCATAGCAATGTACCAATTCGAGTTGGTATCGTGATTCGTGATAAGTTTCTGGTGAATTTGTCATGATGGCCTAACTGACCTGACCTCAAGCTCAACTTCCCATCCTACAATGGTGTTCCGCGCACCATTAGCGCAGGCAACTGCGGAATTTCATTATCATCAATTAAAAAAAATACATGGTCAGAAATAATATTAACCTTGAACTATATTTAATTCCTACATATAATACATATGTGCTTTAATAAATTATTTTATTTTATTAAAGAGCATTTGTTATCGAAGAAAGTTTTATACTAGATCATTATCAATATTTACAAAATATCCATATTGGATATAGAGGTGGTAACTAAGTAGAACTGGATTGGTGTCAATTGAATAGATTTGATCGAACGATACTAATGTAAAGCTAAGTAGGGAGTTGAAGTTGAATATATACCTATCTATTATAAAATATTAAATAATCATATATAGTTAAAAAATGCCTCTATCAAGTAATATATTTTTAAAAGCACTTTCAATTTACCTATAATAATCCATATGCTACATAATTTGAATAAATTATTTATTATTATTTCCAACTACTGTTACAATTAACTTCAGGTAAGTACCTATAAATAGGTAGTTGAAACTGCTGTTGATATTATAGGTAGTTTCACATTATGTAGGTATTTTTATGCTTATTAACTCCACTGTTATATGTATATATAAAGTATAGGGCGCTAATTTGAAATTTTGTAGGTTCTTACGCAATATATTTATTCATAATGAAGATATTAAAAAAGATGCCAATTGAAAATCTAGTATTTTTCTAAATTTGTTTCAGAAATGAATGCCACTGCCATGTTCGAATGCTCTTTGAAATACAGACAATGCAATAGTTTCGTCCTCTACAACAGCGGCACTTGTTGTCTGTCTGATTTATTGACTGTCTCTGTCTACCCCATTTTAGATTATAGTTATAATCTAATTTTGGCAATAGATAATTTTTATTATTAGGCAACCTCTCACGCCTTGCTTTGATTTCCTTATTAATATAAAGTCCTCATTTTTCATTGCAGTATTTACCTTCATAGAGTTTACCTGAAACAAAAGGAAATAAACATTAAAAATTAATTTTTTAATCCAACGTACGGCGCGCACCGTTCCAATTCATCATTATAAATAGGTAGCGTGATACTCTACCTGCCCTCAGCACATAACCGTGCGCATATACGCACACTTCGTAAACGCCTCTGACAAAACCGGTCCTAAACGCTGGCAGCATACAAATGTACTCGCGTCCCAATACATTCTCCGTCTTTCATCGGCGCCAAAACATCACATAAATCTTTCTCGCTTGCACACCCGAGCCAACTTCACGGCAATGCGCGCGTCGGCCAATCGGTATACGGCGTCCCATCGCCATATTGAATGACGCGACTAGGTCGCCCTCTGTACTAACTAATGTTCAAGTGGTGTTTCAGTGTTTTTAGAATTGTTTTTGTGAGTTTTTCGTGTTATTAATGCTTTTAACACATAATTCCAGTCACAAATAGTGATTTATACGTGTTTCATTCGTTTTTTATACTAATTTACTACTGCTAAAGTATTTTTGTGTGAAAATTACGAATGTTTTGGATCTCTAACCATACAAGGCTAAGTTCTGTACGGACAATGTTTTCTTTTCTTATTTATTTCTTATATTAAATCAGTTGCATACCTGAACAATGTATGTAAAATAGTATGAATACCATAAAATAATTTTTCATTAAAATTGTCAATAATGAGGCAACATACCTGTTGATTTTTATCTACTAAAACGTAATTATTTACACAATAACATTATGAAATCTTTAGTAATCACTCTTAGTTTATATGCATATAAACAGATATTAACAATTATAAAGATAATTAGAAATATCACACAGTCTCACCATGGCTTATTTTATTCATAAAAAACAATTTATCCATAACTGAACTGGCATATTCAAGAGCATGTCAAATTAGATAAAGTTGTTTATGTCACATTCCTAATGTAATGTATAAGTGAAAATTATTACAGCTAATTTAACGGTAACATATGAAATTCTACAATCTATAACAATAATGTCAAAAATCTAAATAACACTACAAATACACTAGGTATCTACTCACACAATCTATTTTTATTCATATTCGAATAGACAAATCCACTCACCGTAATGTTTTTATACATAATAAATATTAAGTACATGTTATGTAGAATTATAATTCCTAGTATTTTTTAATGTAAAATTATTGGCGACCGTCGGGCTTTATACCTATGCATCCGACGGCACGGCGCATGCGTAAAATGCGGTTTATTTTTCACCTTTAATACCTACTACAACATTATAAATTATTTATAAGATTTCTATACTAATATTTTTATTTTAAATCATTTAGTTATTTTTTTATTGTAGGTCGCTGGGTTTAAATTATTATAATATGGTATTAATTAATTGCATTTCAATTATAATACCTATATTAGAGTTGTAGTAGGTAGGTACGTCTTTAACATCAGAGAAATCATCAGTTTGTATTAGGTATGTTTAATAAAAAGGTTAACATATTCACTTATTATTTATAAAATAAATTAATATATTCCAATATCTGCTTTTAGAGATGATTCATATCTACCTAAATATTTCAATTGTAATGTTTATTTTGGTACAAATATACCGTAAACTTAAATTATTACTGCTTTAGTAGGCACCATCTACCATTTAGTAATATTAAATAGGTAGGTACTTTGTCTTAATACGGAAATGCATACTTTTATCATTTGCACTAAATTCAGTATCTTTAATAAGATCACATTTATTAAAATTAAAACTCTCAATAGTAGGTATCGTTACGACATAAAAACTATTTCCTTAACTTCATTTTATCAGAGTTAACTAGAATATTGGCTGAATTCCGTTGAAGTCAAAGATGGAGATAAAACTTGAGTGCACATTGTGCGATATTGTAAAAGTTCAACGTTGCATTGAACGACTTTGAATCCTAAATAGGACACTGATGCATAGCTGCATCTGCATAGAAAAAACTTTGGACCAGTGAGAAATGCGTACGGGAATTTAGTTTTCATTGCAACGTTTTTGTTTGTTTGTTGTTTGCGGATTTTTTTGTTTGTACTATTTGTTTATTTTCCTTTTATTTTATCGAATAGATAGGGAGAAATAACATTTATCTGAAGCAGATTTAATTGGTACTTTTTAGGTTTGATTTGATTTGAATATGATTTTAAGGTATATAAAGTACCTAAGTACCTAGGTACCGTACATTTCCAAAAGTTTGGAGCCTCACTTGAATTGTTTTTTTATTGGTCAATAAAACCGCAAAATAACCTACTTCATAAAGAAAAGTATGTTTGGTCATCAAAAATACCAAATACATCTTTTGATAATTCGCACATGAGAAGTATATAGGTGCCTAAGCATTGTTATTCATGGCCAATGTGATATGATAGCACCCATCTTGCTTAACCAAAATTTTGTTTGGTTTTGATTTTCAATCGCGCAAGTAAGTTGTTTCGGATCACAGATAAAAATGTTATATACTCGAGTATTGTTATGTTCAAATTCTTCTAACATAGATGAACGACATGTAATTTGAGTCAATATTGTTTATTAGTCGTGACCACAGTTTATTACATTTACAATTATTTAGAAATTGACATAGCATATTAGGGGAAATAAAAGCTAAGGTGATAGTCATCTTTACACATTTGCATTTCGTACACATTATTAATATAACTGTGTTCAATAAATTACTGACTGGAGTACAATAATGTCAATCTCGGTAGGTGTCAGCAGTTTATTTAAAAACCATCATGGTCAGATTTTCAACCAAAGTGCAGTTTGGTTGAAACTGTACAGTTTAGTTGAAACATAAATGTTAAGGGAAACCTATTAGTGTTAAGGGCCGACTAAATATATTAGGAAATGTGAACTAAATAGGCAGATATTTTAAAATCATATTTACCAAACTGGAGGTCCTACCTAATTATAATTTTATACAATAACTTTAGTGATATATTATATTCATGTGATGATATTTATAGTTGCTAACTATTTACTCTCAACGCAATGCTTGCATTACAGAGATAAAATACGCTGCCAAGTCTTAGCCGAACAAAAGAAGCGAAACGAAAGCAGAGATTTACTGTGGAAATTTTGGAAGTCAGCCGGCACTGCGTTGTGGTGGCTTGCATTAATCACGCGATGGAAAAATATCTCGATTTCCAACAAACTTCTGTAAGGAGCTAGATGCTATAAACATTTCAACATTAAACTTTCAGTACAATAGGATCGTAACAGTAGAGAAAACATAGCATACATTAATTGGAAAACTAAATAAAAAAGCGTAATAACATATAAATTGCAATGTAAACAAATGGGCCGGACTTAAGCCTACTTAAACAAATTTACAACGTTTCTAAAGGTGACCCAAATTACCATGAAAAAAGTTTAACAGCCCTTTATTTTAGTACAAACAGAGGCTGTTCGTGGGAATCCCGTGTAATCCGGCCACTTATCACGCGTGCAAAATGCAAATTCAGCGGTGGCTGGCGTACGCAGAATTAACGAAAACGCGCGCCGGACCGGGATTGGTACGTCAGTGAAATTATCAAAGTTTGCAAGTAACATTATCAAAGGATAAACAAGTAATCTAAAGTGTGCCAAGCCCAAACTACATCTAAGTAAGTACAAGAACGTTCTAAATTGCGGGCTTAATTTTAAAGAGTTTGTTTCATTATACGTTCGGTATACCCATAACTACTTATTGTCACAGATTTCAAAAAGTAATTTTCAATTTCAATGCATATTTTGCAATGTTTTTTGCAAATTCTGTGTTGGATGCTGTCCCTAAATTCGTAAATCGATTAAAGTTGTTTTAAGCAATATAATGACAAAATAGATAGGTAAAAAAAATTCTGTAAATTGAGGGTTTCAAAATCAAGCGTATGGGATACTGCAGTGAATTTGGATATACACTTACGAAGTTTACCTTTACCTTACCTTTGTCTGATATGCATAGTCCTCAAGAAGAACAATGCACAATGAAAAATACTATAAGTGTCAAAGTATATAGTACTATGATCACCTTTGGAGGATGGCTACCACTTGAGAAGTGACATGAGCCTTCAGCTTTTTAAATATTCCAAGTAAAAAAGAAGTTTGCATTCTCTGAAACCGGCATGCATACATGAAATCAGTTACTCGTATAAATGTGGATGAAGTAAAATAATGTAAAAGTTAAAAAATATCTTTTGGAATTTGGTTCTGTGGAGCTATAAGATCTGGTATTATAATGGAGAAAACTTACTTACAATTACTTAATGAAAAACGAACCTAATTTAGTTTTGTTTAAAGCCTATACAAAACTAAACTGAGTATAAAAATGTAGGTAGGCAATGAGTAATTCATTTTTAAACGATATACATAAGAATTTAGCAGTATATTAGCGTGTTTAGAAGCTATACACTTAGCGACTGCCCGCTTTTCAATACCTCTACACAATATTGATTAGGTTCTGAGAAAAACTTGGCACGCCAGTGCAATATCTACTGCATAATATGGAGTATATATTTATACCAACGCGAGTATTATGGAGTGATTATGTGGATTTTGATAAAAATATTTTATGTTCTTTCAAACGAGGTAGCTTTCGTCTGAAATTAGTAAAGATCTACAACATTATACTTGATTTCTAAATATTTCTATAGAAGTTTCATAACACTTCAGTAAAATCAATTCACACAAGAACTTGGACACTCTTTATAAAATCAAAGGCGTGTATGAAATACTCTTGAGGAATGGCGTTAGACACGCTACTGTCGCTTACAAACTAGAAAAACAAGCTGTGAAAAATAGCTAGTCCAAATGCCAAGTGTGCAATGACAGTTACACTAAATACTACACATACTTATAAGTAGCTACCTATATACGTACCTACCCTTATTACGTACTTAACTAGTTGATATTAGGGAAAATACGTAAGTTCTACATATAACACCTACCTACTCATATATATAACTTTGATTCGTATTATGTAAAAAATAAAGAAATGAAACTTTGCTGAATATAAATAAGATAAGAAATATCATAACATTTTTCTTTTTTATAATTTTAAGCAGAATAAGATATAAAAAGTTGTGCAGTTCTGTAGCAATACAGATGTTTTTCTAAAGAATCATTTAACTAAACGGCAAAATTGATATTTTAATAAAATCGCGTATAACCGAATGTTTTCATAAATGTAGATAATATAAATAATTCAAACATACTATGTTTTAGAGGTAATTGAAATTCAGCACAAATAGCCAAATTGTAATGAAAAGTATCTAGTAATCAGTAAAATAATATTTTACAAGTAATTACTTTATACATGTACCTACATTGTAAGCAATATATACTAATCTAATATAAACAAAATCTATGTAAATCATAATTAAGTCCTAAGCTTGATACTTTAGACGGGGCATTAATTTCACAAGTACCGTGCCGCTAATCTTCGCCCATTTCCACCGAGCTATGGTCTGCCGAAACCCAAAGCTTAACGCTTGTTTGTTAGCTTTAATACGCGTTTAACACCTGCCTTTTAAAATTATGTAATGTGTGAATTAGATAAAGTAGGTTTTTGTGTGGAGTGCTGATCGATATAGGGGTGAATGTAAGCGTTCGCTGAAACGGCCACGCACGATTGATTGATGGAGATCGAAAAGTAAAGAAATATGCAAGGTTAAATCGAAATCATGAATAATTCTGTAACATTGTTAGGCGGGGCTAATGTTATTAAAAGAATATTTTTATTTAATATACTGTTAAGAAGCAGATTTAGAGCGTACATATTTTATATATAGAAGGTATAATTATGGGTAAAATGACTGATTAAAATCTGCTGGTCAAGAAATGATCGAATAATAATGATGAAATGATAATGAAACTAATAAAGGGCCCCAAACTGGACATAATTGCATTTTTACTTCTTCCAAATCTATCAAGGAATCAAATTATTGCTGTTGATGATAGATTTGACTGTTTTGTGACTTCAAGTGAAATTAATTAAAACTTTGGTATATATTGAAGTACTCGGCACTGTATTTAAGTATTGTATTCTATAATTGATCACGAGAGCTTTAGTAGCGGTACAGTCACACTATCTCAGTTGGATAATTTCCAAGTTTTGCGTAGTCAGACGCCATTCATCCGCGAGAATTAAACACTGCTTATACAATCTGTTTTATACAGTATTTGTATTAGTATAGTCATTACGTCCCATATTAAAAGCCATATAAAGTTCTTATATACAACAGGCCATTTTCAATGAATTTGGGTCGGCACTTCATTTTATTCCAAAGCTGATATAGAGATAGTGAAAGAAATAGGTATAAGAGGGTATAAAAATAGTAATTGTCATGTTATAAATATCATATTGCATCTTATCCTTAATGAACCCAATATTCATTATCATGTCATAAAAAATTTAGAGCCTTACTATTGTATCTTGAATAACCTTTATAAAGTTTTGCACACCGTCTGAATTCCGATGAACGCGGGTTCAATTCCTCGCACTGTTCATACATATGTATGATTGTTTGTATCAATCTGGGTATTTTCTGTATATATTATATGTGTTTACAAAAAAAATGTATTTATGTAGGCATTTATATTAGTTATGTGGTACACAATGTATAAATATACGTACATTTTCATTACATTAATTTATATTACCATACATATAAGTAGATAACCTAAAAAGATTTAGTTACACGTATGGAGAATCAATTCATAACTAAAATAGCGCTCTAAACTTGATCAATAGTTTGACAGACATGCCTTTTGTTAATTCAATTCACGTAATAAGAAATAAAAATAACATGTATGCAGTATTTATAAGTATGTAGGTTAAGCAAGGAAGACAAACACGTCAGATAACACTATCTTTCATGTTAACGTTGAGTAATTAATGAGTAATGAACGCGTCCTTATCGCATGTTTTAGCAACTGACAACCTCAAACTCGCATAAATTTATTTCAATTAATAAACACACTATTTAAACAAACTCTATAATAATGGCACTTATTAACATTTTATTATATCATTATTATATAATAAAGTTATTGGGTGTGTCTTATCAATCTGTAGGTGTAAAGATCAGAACTTTGCATGTTTTTTTCTCTTATTTCAACATTTATGTTTTGATAATGATATCGTTATTACATAACAGAGGTCTTTAATGGGAAATTTGACAATTTATAAGTAAACACTAATGCTAATGTGTCTTTATAAATATGCTAGCTGCACCTGTTCAGATTTGTAAGGGAAAATATAAAAAAATAGTCTCATATTTTATTGTAAAGGGATATTTTTTTGATTTGATTTGTTGATTTTCTATAACATCCAGAAATACCATAACAGATTTCTAGTTTCCATTCATAAATCAAACTTTCATTACTACATACTTCACTAATTTTCTCTGCTTTGGAGTTAAAGTTATTAAACATTGAAAATTGACATATTTAATCGAAATAAAATCACTTAGTATATTATTTATATATTGTTAGTTTAAAAATATAAACAATAGGTAAAAATTTACGATAAAAATATAATAAATTTAACGTAATTTTATTAATTCCACCTGTATTTTGTTGCCTGTCATTATCAGATAGGAGGTTTACTAAGGCCCTACGTACACAAGTAAACTGAGGGGTCCTTAAAGCTACTTATGCGAAAGCACGCCAACCCACAAATCTATTTAACGCAGAATGTATCCGTATTTACAATATTTCTATTACGATAAATTGGTAGTCTAAATTTGGCCGGTTTAGCTCAGGTGAACGCATATCTGCATATTTATGAAACCGCGAAAGCCTTAAGGGGAACGTCTCGGTTTTAAAAATGGCGGAAAACGCTTACGTTTTTTTCCGCAAGTTTTTAACAAGATCCACCTTATTTATGCTGTACTAGGGGGTACGCAAAGATTTATTGTGGGGAAACGTGACGAATCGGGGAAGTTAGCTAAAGATACGTTTACGTTGAATTTAAATTGGCTTTTTTATAACTTTATCTGATCCACTCGAAATGGGACTTCGGATCTTTGAATTGCAAGACGTGCGTCTAATTAGATAAAAATCATAAACAATACTTTAGGGTTGTTCTACTTTATAGACTTTTACTGACTTTATATATGAAATTCATATGTAATTTATTGTATTTACAAATATTACAATACCAATTACGACTTACCTGTATCTATAGGAATTTGGTTAAGATTACTGTACTAAATTTGTATAGACATAGATAGCAGTCAGCAATTACTAAAATTTGTGAAATACTATAAATACCATAATAAATGTATTACTGAAACAAGTTCTGAAAAGCAAATATATGTTGTGTCGAACCTTAATGAAGATAAGAAGGTGACAATATCCAAACACCATCTAAATAAAATCCATTTTAAAAATAGTGGCTTAAACTGATTTAATATTTAATATAGTAGTGTAGTTTATTTACAATATTATCAGTACATTACAGTACAAAATCTATTGGTTAGGTATTCCGGGAAACGAAAGAGAGCTATAAATTATAATTCATAGAATAGAGTCTAATGCAGTTACATAATAAATTATCTTTGAGTTAGCAGTTTGATATGAAAATTGAATGCAATTGGCCTATTTAAAACAATTACTGTTAATATCTCAACCACCCTATAATGAGTTCTGAATTTCATTTACTAATAAATAATAACCCGTTTATTTACCGCCCATTGTATGTAAGTAAGACATATTATATACGTATAGGTATAATTATAGGCCTTGTCTATAGTGTACCTAGGTAATTGCCTAAACACTACGCCGTAGGGCGTATCTAGTAATAGGCTAAAATTGCAGATCAAATTAAGCAATTAATATTATTATATCGTAAACTTGAAGTAGAGTAGGCATAATAATTATATATTTATGATTCTAGTAGTATGTGGGGAATAACAGGTATAATACATATTTATTGACAATGACACATTTTTACTTAGCTTTTGAAATTAATTTAGCTATAGTATTTTATAATGTAATATAGTGTCCATATTGGTAACATAAATAAAAGTTCAAAAGAAAAGATAGATTATTAGGTGTAGTAGGTAGGTAGGTACTTTAATTGCATTTTACTTAATGACATCGTTAATTATAATAATACATTATTTATTTAATATCGTAAGTATAAATATATTTTTACAGAGTTTTTGAGCACCTGAAGTCATTTAAATAAACATACAATTTAATATGATAATAATAAAATACAATAATAATATA